ATAGTGAGCAAATTCCTCCCAACTTGACTGAAGGAAGGTAAAGTAATCTGCAACTGACAGCTTCAAATCGTCATGGGTAGCTCGTGAGATATCTCGATGCAACTCATAGATCCAAGTTTCATTACAAGCATGAGCATAAGTCTTAGTGAGACTAGTCCATAAGGTGCGTACAGTTACATGATACATAAACATATTATAAATACATTGCTCCATAGAATTGAATAACCACCCAAGAATGGTACAATTATCAATGTCCCATTGTTTAAACATGGGTTTAGCAGGTGCTGGTTTTTTAATAGTGGCCAATAAATATCCAGTTTTACCCCGACTCCCTAAATAAAGTCTCATTGATCTCGACCAAGACGGAAAATTTTTCCCATTTAATAAAACTGTAGTAATCCTTTGGGCTTGGGAACTATGCCCATAGGATGCATTATCCTTAGTCTGAACAGATTCCATTTCTCAGATTGTGATGATATAGAATCAAATCGCAGATTCTTACCGAATTGCAGATTGTAAATTCTATTGTCTGCAAGTCACAAGGGCTGGAGAAGTTTTCCAAGTGAGCAGCTCTGTATGCAAGAGTGAAACTCGGTCGGATAATTTGTCAACAACATGTACTGACCTTGCAGAAGTCGACAGAGAATGAAAAGAGGCTGGACGATTCGTCAACAGCACATAACGACCAAGCCGGTCATTGGTTTAGAGAGAGCCCTCTACCTTATGAAGTGATGGAGGGAAGAAGAAATACCCCCGAAGGGGTTTGGTTTGATTGGGTGTGTTTTGATGGTTGGTGACTGAAAAATTTAAAGAACACAAAAAGAGGAGAGGATGAACCAAGAAAATATGAAGTAGAGATCAAGCAGTGGAGTGTGTGTCGTGTTCTCGGCTCTGATACCAAGTTGAATATAAAAGGCTCTTGTAAGTCACAAATTCTCATCAGCCATGCTCCTAATTTATATTACAGACTGAATATTATATAAGTGGAAAGTAAATCAAATCACTGATCCTATGCCTCTAATAGGCACATGATGAAAATAATATCATATAAAATCAAATTAAGATCAGATCAAATCCAATCCCTAAAGATACTCCCAATACAGATCAAATCCCTATATTTTCTCCCAATAGATTTCATTAGTGTTGGAATTTGAGACCACAAATTCTTACTCTAATTATGTTTCTATTTTAGAGTTGTATTATGTTACATAATTTCTTGTTTGGCAAGTCTTGACCTCTAAGAAATTGTAATCCTTATCCAACAAGGAATTAGGTTTGAAACTCTATAAATAGATACATAGGCATTGGGTTGAGACTTATGAGATTGAGATAGATGTAGTCTCATGAGAGAGTTGATGGGTAGAGTTAGTATGCGAGTGGGTACATGGTGAAAAGACATGTACGTGGTGTTGATACTCTATTGTTGTAATATCTCTACGAATCATAGGTCCATTGGTAGGTTGTGAAGCACTGCAGATGTTGGGTTAGTCTATGGCAGAGGCAGCGACATGTGTGGGAGTGTTGCTGGATATGTTGATTCGGATTATGCTATAGATCTTGATAGGAGGAGGTCCTTGACAAGGTATGTTTTCACTCTTTGTGGGAATGTGATCAGTTGGAAGACGGCTTTGTAGCCTGTAGTTGCATTGTCTACTATTGAGGCCGAGTACATGGTAGCTACAGAGGTAGTGAAGGAAGCTATATGGTTGAGAGGCTTGGTTGGTGATTTGGGCTTGTAGTAGGGTGATTTGACTGTGTTTTGCGACAGCCAGAGTGCAATAAATTTGATTAAAAATCAGACGTTCCATGAGAGGACCAAGCATATTGATTTCAGGTTTCACTTCATCAGAGATGTGGTTGCACAGGGTGCTATTGCAGTGAGAAAGATTGGGATAACAGAGAAACCGGCAAATATGATGACTAAGGTCATTCCTACACTCAAATTGTCTGGACTTGATTGGTACTTGCAGTTGTTGAGGCCCTTAGGGACATATAGAGGAGGCGAAAGGAGTAGTTAGAGATTGTGGAACTTGGCGTAATTCGAGCCAAGGTGGAGATTTGTGATGTTGTGGCCCAAATTTGGTGCTGGGTCGTGACCCGCTTATGACCCGATGACCCGTTGGATGAGCTTTGTGTGGGCCCAAGCCCACCAAAGCTTTGGGAGTTCGGGGGCTTGCCGGTGAGAAAAAATTTTGATCCATTTTTTGCTCATGGGTCGTGGACCCTAATTAGTCTCTTATAGCCTGATATATATAGAAACTTAGGGTTTAGAGTGGTGTAAGAGAGAGACTAAAATTCGTACAGAAATAGAGTGATGGGGTGAAAACTTGTAATCTTCGATTTTTTACACATAGTGAAGACTTTCGTCGGATCTCAACCGTAGACGTAAGCTATTGCCGAACCACGTATAAATCTTTGTGTTCTTTATGTGGTGTGTTTACTTTTCTATTGTAATTCTTGATTTTATCTTGGGTTAATTGCGTTTGTCATAACATCCTCCATTATAGATCCTCCATTATAGCCTGGTTTGGACACTGCAAGTGCTGAATTCTCGGTAATAGGACCTCTTCCAGAATTACAACCCATTAGCTCCTTACGACTCTCTTCCCTTGGATATGAGCGAAAGCTTCAAGCTGAGAAACGGATCTTTACCCAACACTTGGCTACACGCTTGATCGAATTCAGGGTTTAGGCCTACCAAAAACTGAAACACCCGCTCCTTTTCCAGCACGTTTTTCATCTTCTTCGTATCTGCAGCTGATTCCATCTCTATATTTTGATAGAGATCCAGTTCCGTCAACAACCATTTAAGAGCATTATAATACTCTGTGACAGTTGAAGAACCTTGCTGGGTTCTGATAATCTGCCACTTTAGTTCAAATATTTGAGAGGCAAAACCTCCCTTAGAGTAGGTTCTTGTGACTGCTTCCCAAATATCCTTGGCAGGAGTAGATATGTCTTGCTGATCTCTGGTTGCATTGAATGGAGTAGCCAAGACATTGCCATGGAATTCTCGGCCTCCCCAGTTTTCATACTTTGGATCATTTTCTGCTGGAGGCTTTACAGATCCGGTAACAAACTTAATTTTCCCTTTGCTTCTCAGGGAAATCTTGGGTGATTGGGACCACTCTATAAAGTTTCTTCCATTCAACTTGGAAGTGGAGATTTGCATGGTTGGGTTTTAGTGTGAATGGAGGCCTGGCTGTTGGAGGACGACATAATCAGACAGATTGACAATGAAGGACTATCTGAAAAAAAAAATTGAAACAATCACAAATGGCGTGATAAAGACCGCAAAGAAGGAAGATGAGAATGGTAACGAAGGCTGTAGAAAAACCGACGGCAATGAAGGCCGTGAAAAAACTCCCAATGAACCTAAATAGGCTCTGATACCATGTCAATTGGTGAAGAATGAACCACTCTTCTTTTTATTATAGAAGAATTACACAGATATATATATATATAAATACAAGAGAAGACTTACATTAGGCTAGACTAGGTAACTCTCCTAAATTAAGAGCTAAGAATTATGATCTAAATTACAATCATATCTGTGCAACCTATATACCGAAAGAATAATAAGTCAACTATTCCAACACCAATAGTTAATGATTATCCAAAATACCCAGATTTTAGATCCTTGGGTCCACTGAAGTAAATCAAACAATCACTAAGACAAGAGTCCTACTCTCTCAGGTTTAAGCGTTACTTGCTATAACACTAATAAGTGAAAAATTACTACGACGGCTACTGCAATTTTTCCACTTGTCCTTGATCCAGTTCAATGTGTCCTACACATCAACATGCATGGTTTTGAGTCTTCCACTCAAATGACTGATAATCTCATAGAAACCAACATGTTACATTCTTTCAGATAGAGCATCCATGTTCTATCACTGAATGCGAAGTAATTTATGATAATCTAATCTCTATGATTTATATCTCCTATGCACGACTCTCTCTATGCACATAAACCATATTCCATAGTCAAAGAACAACTTAATTCATCTCATGGATTAACCAATACAAACACTCACCATATGTATGTAAAGCATTTAAATAAAACATAATTCATTAATAATAAGAGTCAAATACAACCCAACTACTGGCTTGAAGGGCATATAATCCCAACATCCTTGTCATCTAAATATTGATAATTAATCACCCTAATAATAAATAAAAGAAAGAATGAACTTTTTTACTCTGGACCCAAGTTTGAATGACTTGGCAGGCTAGGCAATCAACTTTTAGGTGGTCCATCACTCCATAAACCCCTAAGAACACTATTCTAGAAGTAGAGATTTGCAAAAGAAAAAGAATGCAAATTGAGGTAAAAAATACTAAATTAATAGAAAAAATTTCCTACACAGATTTTTTAGTTTTCTTCGTGCAAGATGACCATGTCCTTAGCAGTTATTTACGGAGTATATGGTTTGCAATCCACCAAACTACTGCTACGTGCATTTGCAATGCCATAATCAGAAGGTCATAACTAATGCTATATGACCATTGGATCCAAGAGCATATGGATCTTTTTTGGAGTCGTAATTTATATATATAAAATAAATTAAAAAAAATCAGTACTTGATAATGGCCCCACATTAATCGTGGGTGATATTAGAGGCTAGCTGGTAAAAACCTAGCATTTGATATTATTTGCACAAAGTAGCTACATAAAATTTGAACCCAAATCTCTGTCTTGTTTGTTCAGTTTTTACCATTGCATCAGAAATACAAATTTCAAATTCGGTTATAGCTGATAGAATTTCTGGGTAGGATAGCCATTTGAAAAACCAAAGTTTTCTTTTTCCAACAGAAGATCACATGTATATAACTATGATTTCAAATTTTAAAAGAATGCCATAGATCTTTTTAAGCACATTAAATTTATGTTACACTAGGTAAATAGATGGCAAAGTTGAGAGTACAGTTGAATAATGTTACTTCAAAATACCTGCATGCATACATCATCAATGGAAATGGCCAAAATTAAACTTTACCTATGAAGCAAGTGTGGTAGCTCTAATTCTACAAGTACTTCACGCACAACTTTGCAAAATGGGGAAGCCTGAAAGGGAAGATAAAACATTACTATTTAGATTATACTACTATTTTCTTCATAGAAATCTAAATGAAAAGATTGTAGCTACACTAGCACCGTAAAATAGGTATTGACAACGAATTATAGAAGTTGAATGTTTAATTAGGCACCTCAACATAGAATTATGTAATAAATGTAAACATAAAAATCCTTCAGTAGTTCACAATCTAACCTCATATGCCCATATTTCAAGAGGTTTAGGTGGCAATTTTGATGCAATGTAGGAAGACCCCTGCACAGATCACATGAGATTGTTCAGCTCGAGCTTTGATATGCGCTGAATATTGCATATTCGAGCCCTTAAACGTGCATATGTTAACGCCTTAGTAATATCTATATCTCAGTTCTTATGTTTGTTTTTGTTTATTTGCTATTTGTTGGTCTTTACCAAAAGAGACGGACATTCCTATGAATTTGAGGCTTACAATGGTGTTCCTTATGCTTAAGGAGATGTTCCGGACCTTCCGAGTCGATTTAGAATCATCACAAAATCCTTTTCCATATAATCAAATCGGGATTACTTATCAAAAAAATTTAAATCAAATCAGGATTAGTTTATAGTTGGCAATACCAACACGGTCCTTCAAGTTCGACACCCTTGAAATAGCCTTATCCTACAAAGATTCGTTCTATTGCAAGTGGTCTTGTTTAATTGACACACATCAAGCTTGTAATATTACAAGCCAAACACTGATAGATAATATTGATTACTCCCTCCGTCCCAATTTAAGTGTCGCTTATGGAGTAGTACTTTTTAAGGGGACATGTGGGACATGCATTGTTTGTCTGGAAAGTTACAAATTTGCCCTTTTAAGTTTTGAATATTCAAGTTTGAAATTTTAAATTCAAAGGACATATATGGAAAGATGTGAAATATATTATTTGAAAGAGGAAAGTATGACACTTATTTTGGGATGGGACAGACAAAAAGGAAAGTATGACACTTATTTTGGGACGGAGGGAGTATTATCTAATATGTTGGTGTATGCAGAAAACGTAGATAATGACTTGTATAAAATATTATAAAATGTCATTCATTTCAATAATTTTTTCTCAAATTAATCTACTATGTGATTAGCCCATTCAAAGGGTTTTTTTTTTTTTTTTTTTTTTTTTTTTCCCCCAACATGTTGTAGGAAATTGCATCATCTGGTTAGTAAGAACTTATAAAAACATTATACCTTTCCCATGCGACCAATCATAGCAAAACCTTCAGTCAAAGTCTGTAATAGAATGAGTTAGTATAGACGAACTATCAACAGATTGTCTTTCTGTGATTGATAAAACTGATTGCAAAAGAGTCAAGTTCTAACCGTTAGAAGACCAAGTGACAACATAAAAGGAACATTTCCATCACCTACAGAAAATGAATTAAAATAGTAGATACATTAAATGGTTGTTGAGTGCAGCAAGAACCAGAAAGATATAAAACATGAAAAGAAAGCAAAGTTCATTAGAGGTTATCATCCAAAAACATAGCCATTGTCACAATCAAGAGAGAGAAATAAAAAACAATTGTTCCCCAAATGGAATTAATGAAAAAAATTCCAGAGCAGGCAACATCTTGTTTGGGCTACTGGATTTATGTTCTTAATCTACTGGCGAGGATATTGGCAGGAGTTGATTGAAATTTTAGCGTGGGCTCATGAAAGTACATGCTTGGCCAATTTGATTTGATAAAGAGATAAATCAGTGGTCCTTCCCATGTGCAACCAAAATTGGTAGGATTAGCCCACTTTTCTGTAGGTTATCCACTTATGCAGCTTTTTTGATTGCCTCTATATTAGGTAAATTTTGGTTAATTGAGATGTGGAATCAAGCTTTCTTGACTGCCCCTACATAAAAATTGGGTTAATTAAGATGTGGAAGCCTACTTCCTCAAAAAGAAGGGGCATTCCCCAGCTTTTAGATCTGTTTAAAATGTAACCAAAAAAAATTGCACTCTCCCAGATAACAATGTAGAATTGACGTCTTCCCTTCTCATAAATAACTAATTTATAAATAATTAAACAATGGAAAACAATCCAGCACAACAAGAAAAGCTGACAAAAATCAGATTGGTGGAACTACACAAACCATATTTCCCAACCAAATACTTAATTATGCCATCAGATTCATACATTGCAACTCCTGTGTTTGGATCCACCTGCAGTAAAAAACAGAAACAGGATTAGTCCAAGGCCGAGACCCTTGTTCAATATAAGTTGAATCCTAAGCATCTCATTCCTAGGGCACATTCATTTTAAACTAAAGAGTGGAGAGAAAAACAGATATAACAACAACAACAACCAAGCCTTTTTCCCTACTACTTGGAATTGGCTACATGAATCCTATGTTTCCATTCCGCTCTATTAAAGGCCATAACCTTGGTCAATCCACATACTATCATATCCTTCCTTACTAACTTTATCCACGTTAATCAATTTTCTCTCATTTTATCTCCAATTTGTGCTACTCCAAACACCTTTGGAGGATGGAAAAAGGGTCTTTATCAGAAAATATCATTTGGAATGGTGATTTTCCTTGAAGGACCCTATAAGGCATGCAGTTTAAAAGATAAGCACCAACCAGAACTGCAGCTGCCCAAAAATGTTTTGGAACATGCATTTGAATTATTAAGGCACGAGCGATAACTAGGAGTAGTCCATTCTTCCGTTCAACAATTCGATTTTGTTGAGGGGTATCAACAGAAGATGTTTGATGGATAATGCCCCTCAACTCAAGAAACGTTTAAAAATATTTTTTTTATATTCAAGGGCATTGTCAGTTCTAAGAACAAGTAATTTTGCATCAAACTGATTTTGAATTTCAACATAAAAGGATTGAAAAACATAGAACACTTGAGATTTATTTTTAAGAATATAAACCCAAATTAAACGTGAATAATCATCAACAAATGACACAAAATAACGAGCACCGAATAAACCAGTAGTACGAGCTGGTCCCCAAGCATCCGAATGTACTAACTCAAAATGTTTCATAGTCTTATTATTAAAACGAGACTTAAAAGTAGCCCGATGATGTTTACTAAGTTCGCAAGTAGTACAATTAAACTTAGAAAAATCAACTAAAGAAGGGACCAAGACTCGAAGACTATTGTTGTCAGGGGCTTATTTGTTATTACTTATATAATATTGGGCTTATGTGTAATTTCTGAAACATATTAGTATAAATAGAATGTGATGGAAGGATGAAAGTATTCTTTCATTCATTCTAATTTCCCCATCTCTCTCTCTTTTTCTCTCATCCCCTTTCTTCTCTTTTTCTTTTTCTTCTTCTTCTTATACTTTACTCTTGATTTGATTATATCTTAAAGTCAACATGGTATCTAAGCATGATTTGTAAAGCTCTAGGTGTGTAGTTGAAACCCTAGGCAAGTTTGTGTAAACCCTAGTGGATGTGAAAGGTTTTGAAAAGATTCCAAGATGGGATTTGTTTGGACCTATTTTGATCTGTTGCAGTCTCGATTGTTGTTTTCTTCGTGTTCGTGTGGTTTTGCAACGACGGCTTTTTCTTCGTCGTTCACGATTCTGGTATTGTCTACTTTGTTGCTTTCTAGGGTTTGTGTGGTGACTGCGTGGTTACTTTTTTATGCATCCCAGAAGACGATAATCTTTCTAGTTGAAGTTTGTGTGTTAGAGATGTGGTTCTCTACGTATTTTTGTTGCTGCTTTTGTTTATGAGGATTGTATACCCAGAAATTGTTTGATAAAATGTCTAACTTAGAGGTGGCTTCAAAAGAAGCTGGGTCTTCTCCTAATCTGACTCTAGTATTTGGTGGTAGTAGTGATCACCATCCAGGCCTTTGTATTACGACTGCTAAGCTGGATGAGATGAATTATTTGAAGTGGGCTCAATTTGCTCGTATGCATATCACTGGTCGTAGGATCGACCATATTGAAGGGACTGTCACGTATCCCTCCAAGAATGATCCTGAATTCAAATAGTGGAGTACGAATAATGCACTAGTTATGACGTGGTTGTTGCAGTCAATGCAACCACATATTAGCAAAGGGTTTCATCAGTTATTCAAGTTGGGCATTATAGATATCTGTGCACCAGCTTGAGGGAGAGTGTTGTCAGGGGCTTATTTGTTATTACTCATATAATATTGGAGCTTATGTGTAATCTCTGAAACTTATTAGTATAAATAGAATGTGATGAAAAGATGAAAGTATTCTTTCATTCTTTCTCTCTTTCCCCATCTCTCTTTCTTTTTCTCTCATCCTCTTTCTTCCCTTTTTTTTCTCTTCTTATACTTTACTCTTGATTTGATTATATCTTAAAGTCAACAACTATTTGAAGAAGGATGTCCAAGGCGGCAATGCCGTTGATAAGCTGAAGAGGAGGTGGAATGTAGAACTGTCGGAGCAGGAGTCAGCTGGAAGTAGTAAAGACCATCCTTCTCAAACCCCCACCAATCGTCTTTTTCGTCTTGAGATCCTGAAAGACACAATGGGAAGGAGAAAAAATATTTGAGCAATTTAAATCTGATATGATTTTGCGAACTGACAATAAATTGAATGAAAATTAAGGGATATATAAAACCGATGAAAAAGTGAGACCCGAAGTGCAGAAGGTACCAATTCCATGAATAGGTGATTTGGCACCATTCGCTATAGTATCAACCGAAGGTGAGAAAACATGAGAAATATCAAAAAGAAAAGATGGGTTATCTGTCATGTGGTCGGATGCCCTTGAATCAATGATCCAAGGTGCAGAAATGAAGCATGGAAACAGGTATTACCTGAAGTAACAATAGCAGCAGTGGAGGATGAGGGCTAATTTGCATGCTCACGCTTTACTAGAGAATCAAACTTGGCTTTGGAGAGAACTATTTGTTCAGGATTGAGAGTAATCTCCTCCTAAACTGAAGCCTGATTAGCCCAAGCTGGCTTGCCTTGAAGAGCCCAGCAGAAGTCAACAAAGTGATTGTTTTGGCCACAATGAGTACACTTCTTGCTACCGCGGCCCCCTTTGCCGCCACGAATACCACAGCCTGGGTTGGAAGGACCTCTGCCCCCTCATCCTCCACGAAAGGTATCATGTCGCTCAGTAGGAACAACAAGAGCAGAGTGGTTTTCCTGCTCAATCAAAGGGGCATGAATAGATGCTCTTTGAACTCGAGCAAAAGTCTTAATGGCTATGGGACAAAATTTGTGAACTGATTGGAGTGAGTTCGGGTTTAAGTCTGGATAAAAACTTCGCCACCCGAAACTCTTCCATGTGCTGCTGTTGTTTACGTTTTCTACATTTGTAGTCAATGGTTGGTAGACATTCAATTCTTCCCACATACCTTTCAGTTCTGAGAAATAATCTTCAATCGAACAATCTCCTTGCTGGAGATTAAAAATATCCTAGTACAATTGATAAATTTGAGATATATTCTTCTTTGAATAATACATGTCCCTGAGATTTTCCTAGATATCTTTGGCAAATTCTAGGAATGACACGTTGTTGAAGATCTCATGTTACAAGCTATTCCATAACCAAGTCATAATATGAGCATCTTCTTTCTCTAAAGCCTCAATAATCTTTTCATCAGTGGTGGGTTTGGTTGATTGAAGATAGAACAGTTTTCCTTAAGCCCGTTGGATTTTATTGATAAATGAGAGTTACTCATCTTAGTCAGTATTATTAGTCTAACATGTTCCAAGCATGCAAAAAAGAATTGCTTTTTAAAAATATATATATGTATAGTTAAGTTCATTTTGATTCTCTATTTTTGGAATTCTCTTTGTTAACAGTGTTGGTAAGTCAAAGAACAAAAGATGAGGAATATTTTCAAACCATGTAGGGAAACTGTTGTTTTCCTCCCATCTGTGCAACCTTTGGACGGAAATTTGGACCATTTCTTGGGCATGGATAATAAAGGACGTCAAGATCCAACACAGCAACAATTTCCCTAACCTGTAAATTTTCAAAATGCCAATTAGGACAGTAATGGATGCATAGCATGGAAAACTCAGTCATGTGTTCCGAGAGAATAATCAAATGGAAACTACATTTTAAGATGGACCCCATCATCAGAGCAGGTCTTGGACACTATTTCATACAAGTGCCCAACAAGTACTGACAGACAGAAGAATGGTCCTTCTCTTGAGTGAAGTATAGTCCAAAACCAGCCTAAAAGAAGAATCCTTACGTTTAAATGGTTGAAATCAGCTAGATCATACAAGATGTCCACTGATTTAGACTTTTTAGTAATGCTTTATCCAAAAGTTCCATCACAGTTGGAAGTCCAAATTTCTAAAAGTGTAAAGTCAAGTGTGTGGTATATTGGTTCCACTGAGAGTTGGACATAGAATATTCATTTACATACTCACAATAAAATGACCTAGAAAATTCAAACATATACTTCAAAATATAAATGAAAATCTTAAATTTAACATAAAAATGGACATCCCTAAAGGTTGATGTTACCTTCCGACAAAATGGGCAGCTGAAGTTTCCGCATGTTCCATGATAATCCACATTGGAAGAAAGCAATACATTCATTCAGTTTTAAATTCATCACAGTGCCACACAAAAAGTTTTGCAGGAAAACAAGAAAACAAAAGAACAGCGAGTAATAGTATAAACTTAGAACCATTCGCATGAACTAATGCATACTAATTCAATACAGAAGAAAATGATATTGTATATTAAGTACCTTTCAAACTCATAAATCTCTATAGGCTTCTCTGGGAGAGGACCTAATTTTGAAGTCTCTTTTAATTTGAAACCTGTTTAAACAAAATGTAAACTAGAAATAAATAATAAAAAATTTCTTTGAAGTCTCTTTAACTTGAATGCATTTAATAGACCATTAGGTAGCTGATAACTGATGGTGAAGAGGATTGGGACATTTTCCTTCATCAAATACATGTTAATGCCTGTAAGGAGGATCCTCATGGATGAAGGACGAGAACCCAATAAACAACTGCACAAGGAAGTCGAGAGCTTATATATCTGAATTTATAATGTTACCACCGCCAAGATACAGAAATAGGAACTGGACATGAAGAACGAGTGCGATTTTTTTTTTTTTTTTTTTCCCTTCATCTAAGTATTTTTTGTATTTCTTTCCCATATATTCATTATTCTGAGTCTTTCTGACCTTAAAACCTAAAGCAAAAAGGTGTTAAATGGACAAAGGTTTTTCTTTCTTTCCTTTACATTTTATTTTATTTTATTTTATTTTTGCCAATTAAAATGTAAAAACCAGACCACATACGTATCAGTAATAGGTAAAAACTGGCATATGATGGCATTTTTGGATCATATATAGTATGTAAATAATGAATACACCTTATTCCAGAAGGTCAGAATTTAAAATAACAGTGACATTGAGGGTAATACTAGGAGAAGAGGAAGAGCAAAGTTAAACGTCCAGGTAGAGTTAGTAAAGAAAGATATGATAGCATGCGGATTGACTGAGGCTATGGCCTTAGATAGAGCGGAATGGAAACATAGAATTCATGTAGCCGACTCCTAGTAGTTGAGAAAAGGCTTGGTTGTTATTGTTGTTGTTGCACTGACATATGCAAAAATTGGCATATGATGGCATATTTAGACCATGTTATGTAAATAATGGATACACCCTCTTATAGAAGGTAAGATGTAAAACAACTGTGACATAAATGGAACCGACTGAGCTACAAGATAAATCTAAATGCTTTTGAAATTTAATTTATATAATATCATGGGACCTAAAGATTTGGACACCCAAAGTGAAAATTTTAAATTATATGAAATATGAATTTTTCATTTTTTTTTTTTTTTCCCGATGAATTTCACAAGTAACAAAAACTTTCTTCTCATTTGTGGGATCATCCAACTGTGCGAAGGAAAGAGATTATAATACTTCCAAAGAAAAAGGAAAACAGAATAGAATCGATGGTAAGTAAGAGGCAGCGGATATACATGCATTGAGAAACAAACTATGGTAAAAAATTGCAGCCATGGTTTGAAATGTAAACTATGATAAGAAGATTGCAAGTAATGGTGGGTACCAGGATTGGATAGGAGTATTCAATCTGTATACATGTCAAATTGGGAGGTCAAGCAAGCCCGAAGGCTAAATGACCAAAATATATAAATATATTCTTTTCTTTTTTTCTTGAAGGTGTCTAAACTTCCTCCAGCTGTTAAACAAAAAATTTCATATATACGTTAGAGTTACATGACATGGCAGTAATGAAAACATTTGACAGCTACCAGTAATTTCAAGTGCATACTGGTCAGGTGGAACCTCATTCTTGGGCACAAACGATGCTGAATACCTGCCACAGTACAAAATAAATTAAAGAAAATTCAGTAGAGCTGATTGCATTCAGAATAACATTTGAAGAAATATGTATAAAACTAATTAATATCCCACCTCCATGAAGAATATGGTGCAATTGGAATTATATGTGTTTGTGGGTCTGTGAAGTTAAAAAGACATCAGCAGTACATCTTGTCTCAATTTCACTCCATAAAAGTAGATTACATTTAAGTTCGGCCCCCAAAATTTTGGTACAAATTGATGTATAAAAGTTCCGCTTGTTTGCGGTCTAACTAAAACCAGTCAAATTTTAATTAACACTACTTCTTTTGTCATTTCTGCATCACAACCCATACCAGTCTGTATGCCCAGGCAATGGTAACTATCCTGACGTACCTGACCACGAAGTTATTCTTTTCTGTTCTGTTGCATTACAAATTCAGTTCCATATATTTGGTGTAGCCAAAAAAAAAAAAAAGATAACGTATGCTTCTTCCTTTATATATATATATATAGAAATCGTGGCAATTTGCTCTTTAAAAAGCAAAGATTGAATCTCACAAATAAACTAAGAAGCCAGCAAAGGAATCTGCATTAAGATTACGATCGTCATGGTGCATAAACTCGTATGCCCAGGCAATGGTAACTATCCTGATGTAACTGACCACGAAGTTATTCTTTTCTGTTCTGTTCCATTACAAATTCAGTTCCATGCATTTTGTGTAGCCAAAATAAAAATCAGATAACGTATTCTTCTTCCTTTATATATATATATATATATAAATATATATCGTGGCAATTTGCTTTTTAAAAAGCAACTATTGAATCTCACAAATAAACTAAGAAGCCAGCAAAGGAATCTGCATTAAGATTACGATCGTCATGGTGCATAAGCGGGGTTCATCCTAAATACATATTTACACTTGATTTCTGTAATCACTGAAACTGTATTTGTGAACCTTTAACTTTGGTTGATACCTATAGTTCTTGATTGTTTGGACTCAACCGAAGCCGATAAATTTGTTTGTCCCATCTCTTAACATCATGTAACAATACTTCCATAGAAACAAACACACACACACGCACAAAAGAATTGATTGGATTATGTGATTTACCTACTGCCATTTACACTGTTGTTACCAGACATAACTACATCCACACAGGTAAGAGCATGTAGGACCATTGCTACCAACTTCAATCCCAATTATATACATTAAATTCCTACTCTAACTATGAAGCAGAAATTGCCTTGTTAATCACCAGTCAGTGTCAGACCAGCACCAACGCGTCTAAAGTTCTAAACAGACAATTACTAACTGTGTCCCTAGATGAAGGTATCCCTCCTCCCTCCAATTACTTTTATAGCCCAAAGCTGAACCGACTACAGCTCTACTGTCGTTGCCCTGACTTTGATCTATACCACCATAACCATTCTTTCTAGGATCAACACTCTCCAGACATAAGAGTTTTGTTTCTTCCCTTCAAGTGTCAGTAATTTTACCTTTTCCTGTAGCACATGGATTTCTTTATTCCTCCATAGCTTTTCAGCTGCATCCATCAATATGATCTCTGCTGTACAACCACATTCACAGAATAACATCTTCTACTTATGTTCTTGGTCCTAACTCTGGAGTACATGATCTCATCCATATCTCATGGATTGTAGGCATATCCATCTGCCTCTGGCTTTAGGAGCAAATTCATAGAATAACATCTTTATAGATGCTTTTGGCCCATTCTCTGAAGTACCAAGTCTCAATATTCTCATCCATAGCTATGAAGGCATACACATTCGTCTCTGGCTTTAAGAGGTAATGACTTGGTTCAGTATATGAACTTCCATCAGATCATTTACATACCTCATTCTATTTTTTCTTCTTTCAAAAAAAGAAAAGAAAAAAAAAAAAAAAAAGAAGGTAAAATCGAATCCGAACCAGAATAAAATCTTCTAATGTCGACTTCTACTGGAAAGCAAGGTTTGCATCTGCAAAGAACTGACACCTATCTTCACTTGGTACAAATGAATATTCAGTTTGCCCAAACAGAATTCTTTATTTCTTCATTGATTTGCTCTGATAACTGTTCACTTGGAAATTTGGCTCACATGGCTTATTGAAATTGTGGGCATGCCAGAGTCTATAGAAAACTCAAAAATGTGAACATCAACTATCCCTTTTGACTGATGGCTGATTTTAGGTGGTTGTGTGGAAGAGAGAATAGTAAGAACTTCCAACGAGGTTGTTTCTTGCCTTGGATGCAAGGACTTTTAAAGTGTTAAAAGAGAGTGCAATATAAAATAAAAGAATTTAAATAACATGAAATAAAACTTGCATGTGCAAAGAAATTAAATTGCAAAATCTAAATGACTTGAAAAGAACTGTTAAACGGAAAAGGAAATTTGAAGGAAAAGAGCATAATTTGACATTGCAAGAAAAAGGAAGTTGCTGGAAATTAAATCACTTGAATGGAAATTGCCATGAAAATTATAATACTGGAAAAGGAATTGACATGAATGGAAAGATAAATGACATAGAGTCAATTGGAATTGAATTGCATTTTTGTGGTGTGGTGCTGGATGGCTTGGAATGAACTTCAACTCTTCTATATATAGACTACTTAATCAACTGATTTGTCCTCATTATTTGCCAAAAAATCTCCTTCCTTGATTTTCTTTCCTTTTAAATTCAAATCGAGTCAATATTAATATATTGATTAATCTGTGCGCCACATGAGTCTTCCCTTTCATAACCCAACTAAACTTGCTAATTTGTAGGAATTTTAGTTATTTTTTCACAACCAAACTCTAGGTTTCCTTGTACACCAGTTAGCCCATTCGGACTTGGTCAACTTTATTTGCTAAAATTTAGCAACCTCTTTGTAAACTTGGCAAACACATAACCTCTTCTAGAAATTCCACGTGTCATCTTCTAACTTGCTCCAACTATTTCCATATGGCCAATCCATATGGTGCCATGTTGGAAATATTTGTCACCTTGTCATTGGTCCACGTCATCGCTAAGATGGCTACCAAGTTTTGGTGCGAACAAATGCCTCCCAAATTTCAAATGTCTTATTCACCACCCAAGCCAATAAGATTTTTGGAATTTTAAAGTATATTGGAAAGGAAAATTTTCACACCATGATTGAATTAATCACATGGAATAAGATGGCAAGCAACGAGTTTCAAAACTTTATTTCTTTTGGACCACCACTAAGTTGGACTTTATTTCATATCAGCCATGATTGATGATGATTCTTCCATTATTCCCACAAAGCTGGCTGATACCTTTCAAAGTATTGGCAATTTATAAATCCAAGATGGACCTCACCATTGAAGTTTTCCAACTCTACTAGCAAGACATGATCATGATCGGCCGGGATCAGGTTGTTATGTAATGTCATTTGGACCAATCTAACTAGCTTCTCTATTGGATGAACAACATTCTGCCACTATGGAGTTTTTCTGATGGCTGATACTCTTTAAGTTTTAAATTCCCATGGAGCTTCTGAAAGCACCTCATTCCAATTTATTTGGATCTTTATCTTCTTCAATGATTTCAGCTATATCGGCAGAAAATACCAAGAATGATATTTCTTTTGTGGCCAATTTTTTCTCAGCCGAGTAAGCTTTCAGCTTGATATAAGCGGCCATGACGTCTTGACTTCTTCTTGACTCTTTATTAGGCATTTCAACAACTGGCCGATGAAGCTTTATACTCGGCCGAAAAACCTTTCTGAGTAACTTTTTAAAGTTAAAATCAATTAGACTTCTTTTGATACTGGCCGATATTGGTTGCCCGATTTTATTTATGCTTTTGAATCTTAATAGAACATGATTCTCGTCGTCTAGTATTACATCGGCCACGTAAATTTTTTCACTAAATGGCTGATTTATTTTCTTCCGCAAATTTCTCCTCATCTGAACCTTTTTCGTTGCTATCCCCACTTTCTTTTCCTAAAATTAGGTTGAGGATGACAAGCTAAAAGAATTCTTTCAGCCAATGATGGTTCTGGCTGCGGATTATATACCACTCTTAGCCAAGCATGCTGGTATTTTAGCTGATTTGATGTTGCTCAGTTAGTACCCTTCCACTCAGGGCACAATCTTCTTTTTAGGAGCCTGGTCGATTACATTACTTCTTCTTATGAGTGAAGAAGGATCATTGTTGACCCCCGTGACTTCTGGCAGCTTTTCGGAGAACTTCAAAATGCCATTGTCAATTGCCTTTTTTCTAATATCAGCCGCTCCCTTTTTGGCCGACATGGTAGATGGCAGAGTACCGCCTGTGGCTGATTTTTCTTGGTGTTGCAAAATTGAGTGTGAAATATTTCTTCCATTTGCTGCCAATTAAAGATGGAATTTGGTAGCAGATGAATATACCACGAGAAGGCTGCCCCTGTCAAAGAGTTTTGAAAAAGCCTCATCTTCAACCACGGGTTAGTACCAGCCTCACCACATTGAACTATGAAACAGGCAATGTGATCTACGGTCGATTGGTTTCCTTCGCCACTGAAAGTCATAAAGTTGGGGACATTGTATCCTATAGGAAGCTCTATAAGTCATATGTGTTTGGATAGGGCTTTCAGTACTTTGGTTGGCCTATCCGCCTAAGGCCATGACCATATTCTTGCTTGATTATATCAGTTTGCTGACCCCTATCGACCGTTGTTGGTTGATTGGGTTGATTGGTCGATCTTGATTTACCCCTAGCGGCTGATTTTTCGCTGGTGGCTAATTATAATTTGGCCAATCTTGTGGCTGATTGGCCATCTGCTGCCCCTCAAGTCCCGGCTGATATACCACTGGAGGCCGATTTATCGCGGGTGGTTGATAATGATAAGGCCAGCATTGTGACTGATTGGCCATTGACTGTCCCCCGAGTGGCGGAGGTTGTGGTATGAAAGCAGCAAGCTGATATTCTGGCCATTTTTGTTGTGATTGATTTATCACTGGCAGCTGATTATAATTCGGCCAATCTTGTGGCTGATTGGTCATGTTCTGCCCCTGAGTCCAGGTTGTGGTGGTACTTAAGGATAGAGTGGATTTGGAGCCATCCACTTTACTTGATTACCCCGCGAGTTAAAGGGTACCCGAGGAGGGTTGACTTACCTGCAGCCACTAATGCTGATTTGTCATTAGCGGTTAATTGAACACAAGTGGTTGATTGAAGGTTGACACAGTGGGATGTGGTTGATTCTTTGACCAAGCTGGTGGAAAATTTACTAGTAAACTTCTTGTTGTGCTTGGTTGAAGTAAAACCACAGGCGACCATAGCTATGATGGCTCAGCAATCTTGTGGCTGAACAACCTATGACGAAGTCGGTTGAAAGACCGATTCTTGATTATTGGAGCTTCCAATCTTAGTCGGCATGTTCATAATGGCAGCTGAGAGCAGAGATGTGATCTTATGTAGATCATGGTGACGAGCACTCATTCTTCCCATCGCCTCTACCAGAGAACTCACCTATGCTTGAACCATCGATACTTCAGATCGTACATCTAAGTCATCCACACGGCCCAATGTAAAGCTACCAGCCTGAGTTGGTTGATGTTCTTCTTCCGAATCATCATTGCAACTTCTTTTAACACTAGGTGGGGTGTCCCATCAGGCGTGCCAATTTATGTTCGCTCGTAAATTTGTCTCATGCGGCTGATTGAAATTACAGGCGTGCATGTCAGGCGGTTGTGTGGAAGAGAATATAATAAGGACTTCCAACGAGGTTCTTTCTTGCCTTGATGCAAGACTTTTTAAAGTGTTAAAAGAAAGTATAATATAAAATAAAAGAATTTAAATAACAAGAAATAAAACTTGCATGTGCAAAGAAATTAAATTTCAGAATCTAAATGACTTGAAAAGAATTGTTAAACGAAAAAGGAAATTTGAAGGAAAAGGACATAATTTGACATTGCAAGAAAAGAGGAAGTTGCTGGAACTTAAATCACTTGAATGGAAATTACAAAACTGGAAAAGGAATTGACATGGATGGAAAGATAAGTGACATAGAGTCAATTGGAATTGAATTGCATTTTTGTGGTGTGGTGTTGGATGGCTTGGAATGAACTTCAACTATTATATATATAGACTCCTTCATCAACTGATTTGTCAACATTATTTGCGAAGAAATCTCCTTCCTTGATTTTCTTTCCTTTTAAATTCAAATTGAGTCAATATTAATATACTGATTCCTCTCTGTGCCACATGAGTCTTCCCTTTCATAACCCAACTAAACTTCCTAATTTGTAGCAATTTTAGTTATTTTCTCACAGCCAAAGTCTAGGTTTCCTTGTACACCAGTTAACCCATTCGGACTTGGTCAGCTTTATTTGCTAAAATTTAGCAACCTCTTCGTAAACTTGGCAGCCGCATCACTTCTTCTTCTAGAAATTCCACGTGTCATCTTCTAACTTGCTCCAATTATTTCCATATGGTCACTTGTAATGCGTGGACGCTTGCCCATTTACCCAAAAGCTCAAGTTGTTGGGTAGTGCTGCATATCTACCCATTTATATCCAATCACTTTTCCATTCGGATCCGATGTGGAATGAATGATCCTTGTTACATTCTCCCCCACTCAAACTTGTAAGGCCTTTGTTGCGACTCGGGCCACCATGCCTACCCGGGCGGCAAACGCCGATGCCCTCTAGGTCGGGCGCTTGGCGTGACACCGAATCAAGGACTGGTCTGGCTCTGATACCAACTGTAATGGGTGGGCACTTGCCCATTTACCCAAAAACTCAAACTGTTGGATAGTGCTGCATACCCACCCATTTATACCTAATCACTTTCCCATCCGGATCCGATGTGGGACAAATGACCCTTGTTACACCAATCCATATGGTGCCATGTTAAAAATATTTGTCACATTGTCATTGGTACACATCATTGCTGAGATGGCTTTCAAGTTTTGGTGCCAACAATAACACCGTTAATTAACCCCATATGGTCTTATCGTGACAATTTTCCTTCATAAGAATTAATCTTTATTTAAGCTTGGTTTCATTCTTTTTTCAACAATTATGTTTTGCTTTTCGTAGATTATCATTAATTGCCTAATTGCTTTATCAATATGGCAAACCTATGCACAGCAGCACGGGCTCCCTATGTATACAACCTTACCTCCGCATACGGAGAGATTGTTTCCTTATTTCAAACATGCGACCACAGTGAAACAACCTTACTTTTGCATCCAAGCACACCCTTAATTGCTTTATCAATGTATTTTGAAAAGCCATTTGATTTTGCAATATTTTCTATATTAATGAATGGTGTATCTCATTGCAAGAGCACATTTAGTCATGATTACTAGTTTTGTTTCGATAATACCATACCATTTGGAAATGTAGCAAATTTGTGTCAGAATATGGAGCAACTCTACTGCTTAGATAATTTCTCTTTCTTTATTAATTAATTTATTTTATAAAATATTAGCTTTCTTTGGTAATATTAATTGAGATTAAGAGCCACTCTTTAAGACTTAGGGGCCAAAGTAAAGTGATAGCAACCTATATTGGCTAGTAACATGCATAAGATTGTTTTTGAAGCTACTATCTGATTACTGTATATTCTTCTCATTTCGGTTAATTCTTGTTTAGATTAATAGGATCGGGTACAATTTAAATACCAATAAAAAATTCTAAATTTTCTCTCTCTGAGAGGGTGCGTTAATACATTAAGAGTAAGAATTACTTTATAATCAACAGTCATAATTTCAACTTTGCTGATAAAGTTTTAACCACGTATTAATTATTTCAAAAACTAAATTTACCAGACAAACACAATTATAATTTTTTTTCCCATATTTTCCCCCTCCATCTTTCTCACCTTGACCAAAGAATAAAATTAGAGAACCCGTATTAGTATTTATAAATAAAAGAACAAATATAGAGAACAACAAAATTAATTCGTACCCAGAGACAAAAACACCTGTTCCGAAACGAAATATGATGGCAAGAGAAGCCCCCAAGATGTCAAAAACCTTGTCGGGTCTCACCGCAAAGCGCTTGGGCTGTGGAGGCTCGAAATTGGGCGGCGGGAAGAAGGTGGTAGACGAAGTAGAAAACCCTGATTTTGGTTGTTCTTTGGTGCTTACAGAGTCAGAGGTTGAAGTGAGAGGCGTTTTGGAAGATTCCGCTGATGATGTAATAAAGAACACTCTACTCTTCTTTGCCGCTATCCGACTTGAAAGTGGCCGAAAAATTAGAGACGATGCCAAATTTATTACTCCTGCCATCGTTTAGCGGTGCAAGCTAGGAGGAGTAGGACAGCAACCTGTGTGCTGTGTAGGAGAGGTGTGTGGGCAAAAATAGAGAGGGGGAAAAGGGAGGGAGAATACGTCCGTGTAAGAAGAGGTGTGTGGGCAAAAATAGGATAAGTAATGTGATTAATCCTTTTTAATATGTGCATTTCTCTCTCTCTCTCTTCTAAATTTTATTTATATATTTATTGAGGGGTTTGTGGAACAAGTAGCTTAAGGCGTTAAAAATTCACAATATTATGAATTACTGAATTACTATTTTTTTGAACATCTGATACATAAGTTCTTTTTTGAACATCTGATACATAAGTTCTTTAACAATGGGCACTAGCAAATAAAATTTAATTAATTGGTATATAAAATAATAATTTCACTACATATTTTTTTAAATAAATTACACTATTTTTTCCTAAAATTTCTGCTAAGTCTTCCCAATTTTTTTCTATTCTCCTCCCACTGAATTCCAAGTCCAGTTCAACCTCAAATCTTACTTTACCCCCAACCTCCTTACCTTTACATAAAAAACAATTTTAAAAAAAATAAAAAATAGTTATATGAAACAAACATTTTAAAACTGAGTTATTAAAAAAACAATGGTAGACAAACTAAACAGATTTTTGAATAACTTTTTAATAGGAGATATTTGTATAATTTTCTTATAGGAGATCTTTGTATAATTTTTTAATTTTAGTTATTAAAAAATTGTATATAAAATGTGAAAAAAATAATTGAATTTATTTCATTTCAATTTTTTTATTGCAAACGTAAAAATAAAATTTTATTTTAATTAGAATCCAATTACATTTCTAATTCCAAATTCGAAAAGGATTTGGTTCCGTCTTTAAATACTGTATTTATTAGACAATAAGCAAAGGCTCGAAGGAGAGGCAAAATATCCAAAACAAAACAATCCGAAATTGTGAGAGCCACTCACATATTCTTTATTATTATTATTATTACTATATACTAGTTTTAATTCTATATATACTGTCATACAGGAGTAATAGAGCCTTATTAGTTGTACAGATTTCTCTCTGTACTCGAGTCGAAAGGCTTCGCGCTCTCTCTCTCTATGGCTGAAACCCGATGATAGGAGAGTACTAAAAAAGAGACGAGTTGGAGGATTACAGAATCGGTCAATCAATAAATGGCCTTGTTCATGTCCTCATGCTTCACTGTCACAGCCAAGTCTCCTCATTTCATAATTTTCTCTTCTAAACCCTCACTCCTTCTCAAACCCTCCCAATTCCATTTCCAATTGCATTCACTCAGGTCACAAACTTCCCCTTTTCCCAACATTACACCCAAACTTCTTCGTTCCTACAAGAAAAGCTCTTATGTGCCACCTCATCCTGTTGTTGTTGTGGTTAGGGCGAGTATTGATGTTGCGACTTCAGCAATCAAGCCCGGAGGGGCTGTCGAGAGTGATAAGCTGCCAGCTGATGTGCGGAATCGAGCCATGGATGCTGTCGATGCGTGCGGTGGGAGGGTTACCATTGGTGATGTCGCTAGCAAGGCCGGCCTCAACTTGAATGAAGCTCAAAAGGCTTTGCAGGCAATTGCTGCTGATACTAATGGTTTCTTGGAGGTAATCATTTCACTTTTTTTTTTTTCCCCCAAATATATCTCCATTCCGTTTGCGGATATCAGCATATGAACTCAAATTGTCCATACAGATCGATTAAAATGGTAGAATGCAATGTTCACTCATTACCGCTGTTTTGTTCTGGATATTAACTGTTCCTGATTTGTTATTTAGTGAGAACTTGATATTAATTTAATTTGAAAGCTCAAAATGAACTAATTTCTTGAATTTCTTAAAACGAACTAATTATTTGAATATTAAAGTAAACAACTGAACCTAATTATCTCCGAATCATGCTAAAAGTCACATTTCTTAGCTCAGACAATACCCCATGCATCATTATAACTCAGCTTATCCTGGCCATACATTCCCAATATTTTCCTTTTACTGAACTTATGTACTCTCGGTGCATTATGCATTAGCTTAAATTTAAATATACCCATTTTTAATGATAGGGGTTATTTGTATTTATTCATTAATGAAGCATACATTTGTGGTGTCGGGTAGGGGGAGGTTATATTGATGCTAAATCTTTCCCTGCTGAATGGCTAGGCTTACTTTTACTATTTTTTTATTGTATTGGTAGTGAATTAATTACCAAATCTATCCATAGTGGGTCCACACGGATGTGATGGTTTACTTTTAATAAGTTCAATGCAAAAAGGTTAAATTGGTAATGTTACAAAAAATAGTAATGACTTTTCAATTGAGATATTTATATTGGGGACGGAGGGAGTATATAATTATATCAAATAATTGATATGTTAGGTTATTAAGTTATGTGTTGGCAATTTTCTACCCAAAATGTCTTGAGTTGTAAGTTAAACAAAATGTCTTGAGTTACTTATCAAAAAAAAAAAAAAAAAAAACAGAATGTCTTGAGTTGTTTGTCTACAATCAAAAGGAGAATTAAGATGGAGAATAGTAAGAATAACCCCAAAGTCTCTCAAGCTCAATTTATGTATCTAGGTTAAAGTAAGATAAGATGGGAGCAAGTTTGCAAGCCTATAAAGTTGGGGGGTCTTGGTATTAGACGATTGATCCCTTTTAATAAAGCTCTTTTGGGTAAGTGGTTGTGGAGATACGGGAAGGAAAAACATCGTCCTTGGCGCAGTTTAGTGTCTTGCAGGTATGGGGAAGATGTTGGTGGTTGGACTACACGTCCGGTTTCTATTGCGGGAAGAGTTGGGGCGTGGAAATCCATTCGACAAGGATGGGATGCCTTTTCCTCTCATATCAGATTCAGAGTTCGGGATGGTAGCTGTGTCCGCTTTTGGGATGATCTTTGGTGTTGGAACTAGCCTTTATGTCGTACATTTCCTAGGTTATATAGTATTGCAGTTGATAAACATGCCATAGTTGCTAACTGTTATCATCTTGATAATAGTGGGATTACGTGGAATGTTCATTTCAGGATTGGGAGTTGGAAGAGGTGAGCATTTTCTTGGATCAATTGTATCGGCAAGAAGGAGTTGGAAGAGGTGAGCATTTTCTTGGATCAATTGTATCGGCAAGAAGGAATTGGCAGGGGTTTTGACAGTTTGAATCGGATTCCCTGCTCTCAAGGGCGTTTTACAGTTAGGTCCTTGTTTTTCTGTCTGTCTAATTTTGCATCCTATGATTTTCCTTAGAAGACTATTTGGTGCTCCATGGTCCCTACTAGGGTGGCATTCTTTGTATGGACTGCTGTTTGGGGAAAGATTATGACGATCGATAATCTGAGGAAAAGGGGAAATTTTCTTGTTAATTGGTGCTGTTTATGTAAGCAGAATGGGGAGTCAGTCGATCATCTCCTAATGCATTGCTCTGTAGTGCGCGATTGCTGGAATCTCATTCTTGGCTTATTTGGCATGTGTTGGGTAATGCCACGTTCTACTAGGGAGCTAATTCATACTTGGAGAGGTTGTCGTGTGAGTAGGAGCGTTCGTGCTTATTGGAGATCTGTATCACATTGTATTTGGTGGTGTATCTGGAAGGAGCGAAATAGTAGAATGTTTGAAGGGAAGGAGTCGTCTACAGCGACACTGAAACTTTTTATCATTCGCTCTCTTTTTTGTTATGTGAACAGAAATTCGTGTTCCTCTTCTGTTGATTTAATTTCTTTTCTGGATTCTTTGGGGCCTTGAACCCCGGTTCCTTTGTCCACGGGACGCGTTCCCTTATTGAACGCCCTTTTTAATTTATTATTACTTATCAAAAAAAGATAAGAACTTAGGACCTACCCTCACTAAATTCAAACCATAAACTGCTGTAACATAAAATGAGGCTTGAGAATTCAAAGAAACAATCCTCAAGAATAAGCACTGATTGCTTTCTTCAATTAAAGGACGCATCAAAACTAATGGGGTCCCAACCAAACGAAATTCTACCACTGTCATGAGAATTCTAATTGGCAATCCATTTCCAGGTTTGAAATTATGTTTTAAACATGTTTTTGAAAAACTTTGAACAAAGGACTTCATTCGATTGCACCAAAGATCTGCACTAAGTCTATTTATATTCAAGATAATTGTGATGTTATGGCCCGAATTTTGTGTAGGACTCTCTTGTATGGTTGTACCCCAGTATATAAGGGCGCTGTTTAGGGTTTGGAGTGGGATATGGGAGAACACTGAAACCACAAAAAAGAGAGTGAGTGGGAGAGCTATGGTTTGGCCTGTTTGGGGGCTGAAACTTGTAAACTCCTGATTTTTGCTTAGTGAAATCTTTTACCGGATCTTCATCGTGGACGTAGGCTTACGCCGAACCACGTAAATTTTTGTGTTCTTTGTATGTGGAGAAAGACATTAGAATCAAAAAGTTTAAAAATTAGTAGGACTAAAACTGAATATATGGAATGTAAATTTAGTAAAGAGTCAGATATCGATAATACAATAATCACGCTTCAAAACCAAAAGATTAGCCAAAATGAGGATGTTATTGTGCATGATAGGTGTGACTAAGAGATGTAGGGATACTGAATTACTGATCATGTGAGGGAGAAATTAGGAGCGACACTTATTAGTGATAAGATAGTGGAAATAGATTTAGGTGGTATGGACATTTCCAAAGACGATCTATAGATGCTCTGGTAAGAAGAGAGATTAATTTGCATAGAAGGTAGTAGGCAAAGAGGGCAACTGAAGTTAACATGGGATGATATCATTATAAATGATTTTAAAAAGTTGAATATTATAGGAGAGATGAGTTCTAATAGAAAAGACTTGAAGAAGAGAATTCATAAAGGCCAGGATGATGATGATGGTGAGTTTGGGTTAGATATAATCAAGGTTTTTGTGTTAGAATTTTTTCAACCTAGTTGTAATTCTTTCTCTAATAGTGGATTGTTCATACCTGGATTGAGCTTGAAGTGATAGTAGTTCTTGTTGCCTCTTCATCAGAATCTAGTTGATTTTATATTTTTCTCCTTTCTTCCTTATCTTCATATTGGCTGGTGAGAAAAAGTTTGTTATAGTCCAGTCCACCCTTTTATAACTATATGATCGTGGGAGACTAAAGATCTATTAATTAGTGGATTGTTCTATCTTACCTTATTCTTTTTTTTTACAATCATTAAAAGAAATAAAAACTCTCACAAACATACATTTTTAGCACCCAAAATATATATATATATATATATATATGAAAGAAAGAAAGAAAGAAAAGTAGAAACTTTTCTGGGATTTCAGGTGCTGTACTTGTTTTTGCCTTAATTTGCAAGAATTTGCTCACCACTCTTTTTTTTTTTTTTTTGATAAGTCAAGAATTTGCTCGCCACTCTCTGCAAGTAAAGAGCAAAGTGTTCTTTTGACGTTCTTTCCAACTTCCAAAAGAACGTGCATAGCAACATACTGTGATGAAAAATCTTTCTTGTCAACTATGTTTGTGAATCTTTATCTTTTGCTTACCTATTATTTAAATGTATTATTTATGATTCGAAAAACAGATAATACCAAACTTTACTTCCCTAGAATTCGAATTGGATTGAACTTGGTTTTATGAGTGCAACTTCGGAAGTACCAGGAAACCAAGTTGGTTACTCAAAAATTAAGTAATTATAAAGTTTTAATTGTTGATTGTTCGTTATCAAAGGTTTGACTAATAATTTTGTTGAATTTTATAACAAGGAATCAATTAGTAGGAATATTGCCATGTACACAACATATAACATATATTTTATATATATATATATATATATATATATATATATATTGATAAATATATATATGATATATAACTTCTGCAGTAGGGAATGAAGTAATAAGAATTGATTTTAAAAGTTGAATCTAGTAGGATGAATGGCTTATGATAGAAAAAATTGGAAAAATAGAATCCGCGTGGCTAACTTCGTTTATACGGGTAAAGGCAAGGATGATGATGATGATATAACTTGTGCAGTAGGTGATTGCCAATGTGCCTTGTGGGGCCATTGCCTTGGGTTGCCTAGTTATTCTAAGTTCTAACAACTATGAGGCCAATATATTTACCAAATTATTATTTTTTGTTTATTTGTCTATTATGTAATTTGTTGACATTGTCCAATACCTTTCTTGTAAATTTATCATTAATCAGTCAAGACATTTAAGAACTATTATCCATATATTGGCAATTCTTCTTTCAGTTCAACTTGAAAGATTACACTTATATTCTGTTTCAATATATTTATTCCTCGAAGTTCTTGATTTCGTGAGGGCAATTGTTTTCAAGATGGTTTCAACAGGTTTCAGATGAAGGTGATATTCTCTATATTTTTCCAAAGGATTATCGGTCCAAGCTTGCAGCCAAGTCATTTAGGATAAAAATTGAACCATTCCTTGAAAAAGTGAAGGTATCGAAGCTTGTTACTTTTATATTGAGGCCAATATCACAATAATTGTACCTTTTGGAATATGATGTAATTTTATATTTGACAGTCTACATCTGAGTATTTAGTGAGGGTTTCATTTGGGACTGCGCTGATTGCTTCGATTGTTCTTGTTTATACAACAATAATTGCTCTCCTCTCAAGTAGAAGGTATCGGCCTATCTTTTTATTTTATTTTTTTATTTTATAAAATTGTTAAGACACTCCCAACTGAAAATTGAACACCGCATCTCCCCCATTAGGGTGCCTTGAGATACCACTCAAGCTAACCACTAATCTTAGTTATTCAATTGTTGCAAAGCCTTATTTTATTTCAACATTCCCATGCCACTGATCACAAGAAATGTTATTATTCTTCCATCACAGCAGTTATTGACAATGGTTATGCTCTTTTGTAATTTTTTTCTTTTCTTTTTGGTGACAGTGAAGACAATCGTGAGAGACGCGGGGGCAGATCATATGACTCGGGTTTCAATTTTTACTTCAGTCCATCTGACCTGTTTTGGTAATATTTTAAGAATGATATAATCTTCATTGATCTTCCAAAATCAACTCTATTTGTAAAAGTGCTTGGGCTATGGGTTTTACCAGTGGGTGGCCCTTGAGCAGAAAATATATTAATATGAAAAAAAGATATCTATGAAAAACTATGGGCGATCTATTTTAAATACAATTGTGATTTAATTGAGTGAGAACTTCTTTCAGCACAATATATTTTTGCTTATAATTAATATTCCATGTGATCTGGATCTATCCATGAATCTGTTTTTCCATGGACCTGAAATCGTTGGCCAGGCAATGGCTTTTGTAGATTTTTAAATCCAGATCTTGATTATTACTATTTTTTATTTTTTATTTTGATAAAATAGAAAGTAGGAAAGGCCCTTTTCTTTCCTTAGGGATGCCTTTTCAGTTGATTTTTTTATTCTTCCTTCCTCCTCTTGTCAACCAAATAGAAAGTAGGAAAGGCCCTTTTCTTTCCGTAGGGATGCCCTTTATATTTTAATTCATTCTACCGAACAGAGCATTAGTAAACCTCTTGGCATTGGGTGTGTAGGAAGATGAAGATGCAAAATTTTATGTCTGACTCTCATCAATATTCTGTGAACGTGTTTGTGGAACAATAAGAGTAAATAACTTTATGATAATGATATCATCTTGTGTCAACTGAATGCTTCATCTTCTGTTATGTTAAAAACAGGGCAAGCTACTTTAGTAATCCCTCTCTCATTCTCATGTAATTGATAGCTACACACTCAAAAGGGACTTTAGCCATCCTTGTGTTTATTTTATCTCATGTAAGTATCTCTTTCAGGTATTGGGATCCATATTACTATAGGAGGCGACGAATACGAGAAGATGATGATAGCATGAACTTCATTGAATCTGTGAGTGGAAAACAGCCAATATTCTTTCTACTGGTTGCTTTTAACTTCTGAAACAAATTTGACTTTATCAATGGCGCTTTTATAGGTGTTCTCATTTGTATTTGGTGATGGTGATCCAAATCAAGGTATTGAAGAAGAGAGGTGGAAGTTGGTAATAATTGAGCACTGAATTTAGTGGTCTTTTATTTTCAGTGTTTTTATTGTTTGCATCCTTTCACTTCATTGCCCTTGCAATTCATCCATCATACTATTCTATTAGCAACTTTCTTATTGATCTTGTTGTGAGTAAGTGAATACAGTTGTTCTGTGAATCTCCTGCTAAAATGTTGGTAATCCGCTGCCAAAATTAGTTGGATTGGTGCTTCATAACTGTCGATCTGAGCATTTTGTACCAAAGTTAGCATATTTATATACACACAATTTACTTGTATCACCACAATTATCTATGTCAACAAATGTCTAGATCATGCTTATCAAAAAAAAAAAAAAAAATGTCTAGATCATTGCTTTAACGTAGAAGAACAATACCATTTTTACATGCTTTAGTGTGGATGCCTCGTGATACCTAGTTTCTATGTTGATTAGTGTCAGTCTTAGTAGCCAGTCATATATCTGAAAACATAGTTTTAGTTGGCAAAAAAGTTCTTTAAATTAGAATTATTGAGTATATGGAGTGTAAATTTAATAAAGATTTGGACATTGAGAATATAATGGTAGCACTCCAAAACCAAAAGATTACTCAAAATAACCACTTTTGTTATCTAGGATCGATGATACAAAAGGATAGAGAGATAGACAGTGATGTAACTAGTAGAATTGGAGCAGGTTGGACAAAATGGAGACAAGCTAGTGGAATTTATGTGATAAGAGAATAACACTTAGGTTAAAAGAAATTTTTTATAGGACCGTTATTAGACCAGCTATGTTGTATGGAGCGGAGGTCCTAAAAAAGAAACAAGAACAATGCCTTCCTTGAGAGTTTTTGAATGTGTAAGCTATTCAATAATGTTGTATTCTCATCTACCCATTCAAATTCGTCTGCTCTAGAATTTAAAATATTATCAGTCATTGCCTGTGTGACCTGCCCTTTTCCTTGAAATTTTTTTGTCCTTAAATTGAATTAGTAACTTAATTTTTATTATCTGTATATAAATGAGCAATTGGTTAGTTCTGGTGTCTAATAATATAATCATTTTCTTTGAACTCTGTTTGCAGATTGGACAATACATAGCATCAAATGGCGGTGTTGTCACAGCTGAAGAACTTGCTCCTTATCTTGATTTAGAGACTACAGAAGAGACGGTATTTTCATGCTTGATGTAATCTAGCTTGCTGTTGCAAACCTAGTTTGCACTTTCGCCCTTGCATTATAATGCTAGCTTGCAATAATGTTTGACAGGCTTCTTTAAGTAACAATTATTTATCATTTTATTTTATTTTATTTTTCACTTGATAGAACCCTTTGCATGTAACTTTCACCACCCCAAAAAGTTTGACTTATTTGTTCTTGTAATTAGTTTCGTGTTAATTTTTATTTCAATTGTTTAATATATTTTCTTTATGCACTTTATAGCCCCTAAATCTGTATAGTTAGAAATTTTAAACTCTCTTCTTGAAAGTTAGTAGAATTCATGTTCATTGAGATTTGAATCAAAGTTTCAGTCGATACTTGAAAGAAGTTAATTTTGTGTGTTTTGATTTTGATTTTTTTGTTGTCTTTTATATTTTGATTTCATTTGTTTGTTTATGCAAGTACCTTTTTTTTTGTTTATGTTCCAATGTCCGTTCTGCATATAGTATATTTGCGCATGTCTAATTAATATTGGACTTCTATCAACTAATTGAAAATTTTCTTGCTCATTACTCAATACACTGCATCTGTGTAAATTCTTGTTATGCTACTCATCCTGGTTTTCTTTTTTTTTTTTTGGGTGCCAGACTGATGACTCGTACATCTTACCTGTGCTTTTGCGGTTTGATGGTCAGCCAGAAATAGATGACGAGGTGTTTTCAGTACTCTATTTGGACAAAATGCAATAAGAGTTTTAACGTTCAGATAGTTCTGTTTTATTAATCTTGCTTTTTTGATATCCTTCATGCTTTTGCAAAGCTCATGACTTATCATCTTTGACAGTCTCTAAATAGTATCTAAGTATACCAGACTATTTCGGCAGCTCTAGATTATAATCATATAATATAATTTTTTTAATGCTTTCTGGAAAGTGCTATAAACTTTTTTCCGTTTTTAGTTACTTCTAAACACTTTAATCTCTAATATAGACCCTCTTTTTGCTTTATTATTATTATTATTATTGTTATTATTATTATTATTTTAACTAGACATGGCTTTCCTACGAATCAATAATGGATCAAAAGTTCTGGCAATGTACAGAATGTGGGAAAAGTTTACTTCATATTGAAACTTAAAAGGTAGCTTTAAAATCATGACATTCATTTGAAACATCTAATGTTTGTTTTGAATTTTGGAAAATTTCCGATTCCAATTCTTCTTCTTCTTCTTTCCAAATAACGTTTAGACTCATTGAACTCTAACTCAAAGTTCCAAGTTTGAAACTTCTGGATAGGACATGATATCAAGCTCACTATCTCTTGTCCCACAAAATTTTCTCATCTTCATTTTTGTATCCTTCTTTGTCTTATGCTGAAGTATATTTTTAATCTACTATTAGTTTTATCATAAAACTATAGAAACTGATTTTTGCAGGGAAATATTCTATATCAATTTCCATCACTACAACGTACAGCTTCTCATCAGAGGAGTGGAAGGAAGGAATATGTTGGGAAAAGATGGGCTGATTGGGTGGGAGGGGTTGAGAAGTTTTTCAAGGAGAAGAAATGGCAATTCAGGTTCTCTTTGTGTTTGTTCCTGTCATATTAACATTATTAGGTGTCACATGCCATTGAGTTTCTTAATACAAATAATCTTGACCATGCAGTAAAACCAGCACTGCAGAGAGGGCGATGGTAATTGGATTGGGTGGGCTTAATCTCTTTGGGGTTATTATTCTTGGTGCCATGTTGAAGTATGGTTCTATTAACATTGCCTCTTACCCAGTGATTTTTACTCCACGTCTCTCTAACATCACTTCTTTTGTGTGTTTGTCTATGTTTTTTTATTTATCATTATATATATTTTTTTTATTAAAGAAATACTGCAGTTACACCAAGTGGATTCATTACATTTGTGTCGGGCATCTTTCCTTTACTTCAGGTATGAATTGTTGTTTCAATTTTCCCAAAAAGGAAAAAGATAAACAAGCTTTTATGATTTAATGAATTCAACTATAACACATGTACTACTTACCAAAAAATAAGAAATTATAACACATGTACCTGCTTCATAACAGAAATGTAGGTCGTACTTTATTTTCTTAAGTTAGAAATGTCCGAAATTTGTTTAGGGTAACAGTAAAGTGCCTGTCCGATCAGTTTCATTTGTCAAAAACAATGCCATCATTTTACCTCTCCCCATATATATGATTTATTATGAAAATGGTTACCACCTAGTTGGTTGCTTAGCCATTAACTTAATGTTTTAGTTTCTTAGCTTTTAAGGAAAATCCTTTGCTCGCTATAGACAAGGCTGTAACTTTCCACTCCAAGGAATAATGAATGAGCTGAGGAATAATTTCAAAACTTTCAGTACTTTTGTATGGTGAGAAACCTTATGTGCTCAAAGTGATTGTTGTTGTTCTAGCAACACGAGTCTCTTCAATCCTTCTCCTTCTCTTGTTTTTCAGTTTCAGCACATCCATATTTTTATTATTTCTCACTGTTACTTCATTTCAAACTCGTAACTCCTAAGTTGTGCCGTTCTTATTTAGCAAAAAGGCATCCATATTCCTTAAGTTAAGGTTGTGCTGCATCAATTGTAGCATTAGAGCCCTGCTGTATCATCCAGGCACTTCATTTTGATTCTCAGGGTATGTTTGGCAGAAGCTTCGGAATTGGGATTGGGAGCCTCAATTCCAAATTCATTGTTTGGATACTACAAACCAATTTGGGATTGGGATTGCATTGTAATCCCAAACACTATGTTACATGAACTCTTCAAAAGTAGTAAAGTACCCGTGTTGGACACCTATTACTCGGGCATAGTTATGGGATATGTGTCCGACACTTTTGGTTGGATGTGTACTTAAAAAGCATATTCAATCATTCAATTATATTATATTATTGCTTTAAAATGAGTTAAATGCCTACATAGAACATTTTATTAAAAAAAAAAAATAAAAATTACTTTACTCTAGAAAATAAAATAAAATAATTAATAAAATGAATATTTAGCCTTGTCTGTGTGTCCTTCTATTTGGAGATTTGACATGTTCGACACATGGATACATACTGTGTCCGACACATATACCCAAGTACATGTAACATAGCCAAAACATCCCAAATCGGCAATTTGAACCCTACAATTCAAGCAAAGATTTCCAATACCAAAACAAACTCAACACAACACCTCTCTCTCTCCCATACTCACTCAACCCCAGCACTCATACAATGTCATAATTGGGTGATGAAAATTTTAATTGCAACATTTAGTGTCTCATTCTTGTGTGTTTATATATATATATATACACACACATTTACATGATTATTTGACATTAAAAAATATGAAAAAATTAGAGAGACTTTCTCATAGATAAGGTTGAAGAAAGACGCTTTTTGGTATGAATAGGATGTATTAGGTGCATCTCATTCTCCCATGTGTGTTTTGTTTATATATATATATATATATATATATATGTATATATGTCAATAGCAGTAAGCCCATCACCAATTTACATGTGACCAAAAATTACATGTCAGCATTTTTCTCACCCAAAACGACAGATAGACAGTGTTAGTGAGAGTAAGTGTAGAGAGAAAGTGAGGAAAGGAGGGTCGAACTTGAAAAGATTGGTCAGATCGTGAAGAGGAACAAGAAGAGAAGGCCGTCAAAGGCAGATCTTGCACGCCACGTCGCCGTCACGGAGGCACAGGAGCGTGACCTGCGGCGGAGTGTATGTCGCCGGAATGTTAGGTACAACTTCGACATCAACGACGTGTACGATGAAGAGGACGAGGGGAGGAGAGAGAAGAAGTTGAAGCTTGTGCTGAAGCTTCAAAATCAAGTAAAGCGATTCTTAGTTGGCGCCGAGTCAAACTTGGCGCGTGTCATACCCGCCTGATGCTTTGGCATCTTCATTGGACTCCGGCGACGGCGATAAGCCATTGAAGAAGAAGAAAATTGACGGCGATGTTGATGAACGAGTTGAACAGTTCTTGCAACGACACCCACCAATCATTCCACATAGTGTCGATTGAGGCGAACCAGTTCCATAACTCATCTACAAGAGTTGAGTGGGCCATCTTCTGAGTCAACCCAGTGATGAAGTCCACCTCGTCACTGTCTCAGTCGAGCCAAACCCATATGTGAAGATATTTGATATCATTTTTGGAGTTTTTTTTTATTTTTACACAAATGTTTTCTCGAGAGTGAATATATATTTTTTCAATAATAAAAAAGGTTAATTCAAAAAAACATTTAATAGGGTAACATTTTTTTTCAAACACTACAGAAAATGTAATTTTAAATTAAAAAAATAACATTTATTAGGGTAACATTCTTTTTCGCGCTAAATAATAGGGGGGAAAAAAAAAAGAAAAGAAAAAAAGCTTGAATCATTCACAGACCAATTAAGTAACTTAATTAGTTAATTTGTACCAAAATAAAAAATAAAAATAAAAAAATAAAATAAATAAAAAAGAGAGAGCCAATATAAAAAATAAAAATAAAATTATTCATAGCTATTCAGGTGATGATAATTCCAAAAGTTCAATGATTTTGGATAGCACTTTTCTATTATCCATCATCTTTTCTCACAGTTTTCTTTTGTAAGATTTTATTTTTAAATGAGCTAACCTATCATGTAATTTAATATATTAGTGCAATATTGATTCAAATTTGTCTTATATATTATATATATGTCTCCATATAATTTATTTTACATATACCTATATACGTATCTATTTATATTGTTTAATTCAATTCCAAATCAATGATCTTATCCAAGCAATAACATTGGAATTGTAATTCAATTACATTTGAATTCCAACATTTATCCAAACAGTGGATTTGGAATTGAATTGGTGGGATTGTAATATCCTAAGAAGCACGGAAACGGATACGGGACATGGATACGACGCGACACAGATACGGCAATACGGCAAATCAAAATTAGGACACAGACACATCAGGAACACGGCAAATAAGAAATATATTTTATATATATATGATGTTGTACTTTAAGAAATTCAGAGTAATATTATTTTTTACAATCTCATAATGATAAAAAAAAAAAATATTGTTTTGCTGGAAAAAAGAAAGAATGATCGAAAGAGGGTTAAGAAAGAGGAAAACAAAAAAACAAAAAACAAAGAAACATATATCCAATTGTTTGAATATAAAATTGTTTTATGAAACAAGAAGTTTGTAAGTAATTGTGTAATTAAACAACTCCTAATATTTACACTTTAACTCGACATTGTTTCTAAAACTTTCATAAAAATCCCCGAAGAGTGGGACACGAGTGTTTGACACATATCCATGGCGTGTCGGAATCGTGTCCACGCCGTGTCCAGATATTCGGAAAATTATAAAATATTCGGACACGTATTTTGGCGTGTTCGACATGTGTTGGGGCGTGTCCGGCGCGTGTCGGTATCCAACATGTGTCCAACATGGATGCTTTGTCCTTTTCGGCGTGTCTGTGTTTCATATCATGAAATTACAATCCCAATGCAATTCTAATACAATTCCACTTCCGCACAACAAAACATAGCCTCAATGTGAAATGTGCAATGAAAATTGGGGATTACATTAGTGAGAGAGTTACTTGGTCCACTTTAAGGGTGTTGCAGAGACAAAGGTGTGATACCCCCGATTTCCGAACGCGGGTTGATCAGGTCCTTGTCCAAAAATCAAGGGATATCAAACAATTAATATTTTAAAACAAGCACGGAATACAAGATGGAGTAAAAATAAATAAATAAATAACGCTGAAAAGAAAACTAAATAATAAATAATTACCCTTTTGATACCAATATTCCAAATAAATCCAATAAACCATAAACCTCCAAAGTACAACTCGAGAATCTGTATAACAAGGTTCCCTAATAAAAATCCCATAACTGAAATAACGTGAAATAAAAAATAGCTACTAAGTCTGAGAAATAAAAGAAATCTGAGATAATGTCCTACATCGATTATACGGAAGAGTGAAGATGAACGATCTCTGATCTACACGAACAACTCTGAGACTGGTACTGCCGAGGACCCGAAAAATAAATAGTGGGTTAGACCACAAACAAGTTCCTTCTACTACAAGCCAAGTAGAGAACCGACAATCAATACATCCCTAGCTAAACTAATGCAATATCTACATAGTCGATACATACATATATACACACTGAGACTCTCACTGGACAATAGGGCAGTCTCAACCAGATAGTGGGTATCTCATGAAAAATCGCACACGAGGTGGTCCAGAGTCCCCTTCTACTAGGTACACACATTTCTTATATCCAGCTACCCATCTAAATTGGCAATATACGCCTATGTCCTAACCACTAATACCGAGACCTCAAGCTCGTATCATGGCTCATATATATATATATAATACATCATCAATAAAGCCATATCTAACAATGGCACAATGTAGTGTGTCTAGACTTATTAGTTAACCCACTTACTCATCAATCCAACAAAACAATATCTAACAATGGTATAAAATATCAAGGAGCCTAACTTATTAACTATCTCAATGATCTCATCATATACAAGGATAAATCTCATCATAGGCATATCTAACAATGGCACGCAACCACAAACAGTTATAAATTGAATCTAGGATCACATACATGCAGTAAAAGAATGACCATGTATCATGTTTGTAAATCATAAGTATATCAACAACAATGATTATAATCTTGAATAAGATTAATACATTGAATTGCACAATTTAAATGCCATAAAGATTAATTTATAACCTATTAGTTAATTTAATCTTCCCCATCAAATATCAAATCACAAGAGTCTAATACAATTTATATATTCAAAACCTATGTCACTGTTCCCAACACTTATAAACATGTTCGGGATCATTTATACTCAAACCGGGGTCATTCGAAACACTTTTGAAGCAAACAGGTTCCCAGAGCTCGAGCACAACCTCTCTATACTCAAGCATAAACCCTAATGCTCGAGCACTTGGGGTCGGAAGGGTGTTGTGCTTGAGTACAACCCTCTGTGCTCAAGCACAAAGTCGCGGAGTAGTTTTGCAAATCCGTTTTTGGCCTGTAAATTCGTCGTTTGGGTCCCAAAAACATGGTTTCTAAGTTTCATATGATTACCAACGATTTATATGATGAAAATACACAAGACCCATCGATTAAAAACAAGTTTCATGCATTAAATCAAAGAACCCATCAATTTGAGAACAAACCCATATAAACATTAATTGTCCAATTAATTCTCTGATTAAAACCCTAAAGTCTAGCATGTGATGGAGAGACTATAGATTCAAAGGACCAACAAGCAATGGCATAGCGGTATTAGTCTCTTATCTCCCAAAGGGTGGTTAGGGGTTCAAGTTTCAGAAGAGACGTGTGTGTGAGTACCAACTAGAAAAAAAAAAAAAAAAAAAAAAAAGGACTATAGATTCAAAGGGGAAGAGATAGATAAAGAACTTGTCTTATGATTTTCGGATTGAAAATCAACTACACAAGCTCTCCGGTCTTCTTCTCTAATTCCAATAACCTTCAAGCTATCTCCGGTCACCTTCTTCTTCCTCTTCTCTCTCTCTCTCTCTCTCGATCTCTGCCTTTCTTTGTAACTCACGTATATACAAAAACCCTCTTCTTCTAACTAATACATATATATATATATATATATATATATATATATATATATATATATACTAACTCATAAATCCTAGCCTAAGTCTAACTAAAATAAAAAATAAAAATAAAAAATAATAATAATAAAAAATAAATAAATCCCCAAACGTATAATTTTACCAAATCAATATCCACTTGATATATATATATATATATATATATATATATATATATATCTAAATTAACACACACACACACACACACATATATATTAATATATACACCTTCCCATGGGCCATAATTCTATATAACTTATCTAAGCCTTCTTCATTTAGCCCAAACCTATTCCTTTGGGTCATAACTCCAAGCCCAAACCATGATTAATTTAAATAAAATAAGCCAATTAATTAAACAAGCAAATTGCACATAAACAAATAATGACAAGTAATGCACATTAAATAATTTAAAATAACCTAATTAACCAAATAAATCAAAGCCGTTTAAATCAAATAATCAACCAACTAATTAGCACAATAATCATTTAATAAAACAATTAGTCAAATAAGACAATTAATATGCAATTAAAATAATAAATTAAATGCTCTGAAAATTAGGGGTATTACAAAAGGAAAGACTAAAAAGGATGTGGGTTGAGGTTTAAAAGGACATGGGGCTTGTGATTTAGCTGGAACTATAACTAGATATAGTGGATAGGCAAGACATGACTAATGTAGTTGAGCCTGAATAGTGAGGACAAGGTTTGTTTGGGTCAAGCGGAGCTCATTACATTACCATTTCGATTCGTACTCTAGTGGTCTTACTTACCAAAGAAAGAAAAAGAGCACTCATGTGGTCTTATGTTGGAAATTATATTGGCAACTGGTTGTATTAGTCATGCAACATTGTAATTTGCAAGTCTTTCTTTTTAGAGTAATCAACGTGGCATTATCAAGAGTTATGTTCAAATTTGCGTAATCAAGGATGCTCATTAATTTTAATCCAGCAATGGAGCTGATTGATGCAATGAGATTCAGTGCTTTGAATTCTAACTACCATATCTATGAAAAATTCAATCTCATTGCCTTTAAATTTCCCAAGTATTTTTGCTTGCTGGTGCACTCCAATTTCCAAGTATTTGCCCACATTGACCATAAATATGTCAACAGTTTTCAGTTCTTTCTTTCCCTGTAATCTTGGTTCATTCTTCAAAGGCTAGATTGATGTATTCTCATTTTCAGTCTTCTGTTTAACTTATATTGCTTTAAGCTGTTTTGTCTATGTATTTATTTATAAGTTCAACTTTGCAGATCTATGCTGGTTCTTTCTTTGCAATTCCATTGGTCAGATGGTTCCTTATTCGCAAGGCCAATGCTGAAATAGAGAAGAGAAATCAAACGAGGGAGCAACAAGCTCGCACACTTGAATTGCCCAATCTTTCTCTGAGGCGAAAGGTAAACATATGTAGGCTTATTGTACATATTTATTTCATATGGTTAACGGTGTTTCCAGTTATGATTTCTTGTCAGATAGCTTGGAAATTGGACCTTTTTGTTAATAGTTTTATTATTAGTTTTACGTCTCAGTATCTCAATTTAAAGTGGAACCAATATCGTAACTCAACAAGCTTGAGCACTGGTTTTGCATATGTGCCAACAATAAATTGGCTTTGTAGGCTAAAAGTAGTAATTTCTTACACATTTCAAACCTTATGTTCAACAATAAAAACTTGGCTTATTCATACACACGCTCCTTGTCCAAAAGTTTTTGAAATTTGGCACTATCACTATCTCTATCTCATTCTGCTTGAAAGTCCAGATAATAATCCAACTCTTGCCACGGGCTATTAAGCTCAGCATAGTACTGTACAATTGACAATTCTTGCTGTGTGGTTTCATGCACCTTTTTCCATAATTCATAGACTTGTGTATCATTCCCCAACTGAGAGTAAGTCTGAGATACAGCCATCCAAATGCTATGGGCTGAATCAAGAAGAAGGTATCCACAACCGATGTGTGGTTGCATGGAGTGTAGCAACCAAGACATCACCAATGAATTGTCCGACACTCATCGATCATACAGTTGACTTTGTGATGCAGTGCAAATGCAAGAGGATTTTCTTCAAACAGTTGAAGATCCTAAGAGGACTAGATTAAAATTGCATTAATAGGGGCGGCATTGTTTATGGTCTTAAACCTTTTTTAATTTTATGTTTAATATTTGCTTTAAGCTCTAGTTAGGGTATTATTGTCATTTCGGTTTTATTTTATAAGTCATGTGACTATTTAAGGGCTGTTTTGTCATTTTTTTAGCTCTTTATTCTGCTGGACAGAATACTAGCCTTTAGATTACATTTATATGGAGGGTTAGGATTAAATCTTTGCTAGGGCATCCGTTGGGTGTTTTAGAAGGGTTGTTCCAAGTTGTTATCAGTAGTCTTTTGTGTATTATCAATATACATTGCCTGCTACAGCAGCTTTGACCTCTCACTTTTCTTTGGGATTGAGTTGTGGGTGTTTAAGCTATTCATTAGCTTGAATTAGCTCTTTGTTTTTCCTTCTTCAGATTTATTTCTTTTCTTTCATAGCTGATTGCATTAGTTGGTATCAGAGCAAGTTCTGGTCTGGTGGTTTTGTGTAGGGTTATCGGATATCTCTCTTAGGTTTTGCAACATGCCACCAAGAAGAAGAAACCCGCCTCGCAAACTAGCCGTTCGTCCTCATCAGAACGCAGCATTTGGTCAACAACAAGCGCTTGCTGTGATAGACGATCTAAGAAGGCAAATTGAAGCTTTAGCCCTGCGCATTGCGCAAGCCCCAGCCCCTTCTCAAGATGGCGTCGAATCTGAGGAGGAGGACAATCTGGAAGAGGATTTTGTTAATCCTTTTTGCAGAAACACAACACCTAGACCAGCTCCTATTCCATTTGAAGAAAGGCTTTGGGATGGTGGTTTTAAGGTAAAAATTCCTGATTTGTAGGACATCTTGGTGGAGAAGAAGAACAACCACAAGAGGAACCTATCTATAACAATGATGATGAGTCCAATGGAAAAAATTTCGTCAAGCGTGAGGAGCCATGTTTAGAAAGTTTCTATCATGATTCAGGGAATGATCCAACAAGTGATCAGTCATGGTTGTTCATAAAATCTACTACTGTAGAACCATTCGTTGAGTGGAGTAAGCGTCCAATTTTTTATGAACCACACATTGAATCATATGAGCCAAAAATGCCTATGGATTGGTTTCATATTCTTCGTTCTATTTTCTATTATGTAAAAGGAAGTGCTTGCTCCTCGACTGATGATTTAGTTGATCTTTTGGACTCTATTGGTCCTTTCGTTCAATTTTCGCTTTTTGTATTAGGGACGCGTTCCCCTTTTGAGCGCTCTTCTAATCGACTTTTACTTATCAAAAAAAAAATAATAATAATAACGCCTATGGATTGGGATCAATTAGCACTCTTTGAGAAGGAAGCTACAAAAGAAGAATCTCAACATGAAAGGAAGCTATGAGAATGTGGTGTTAGAAATAGCAATGGAGAAACAGGAAGGGCGGATGGGAGTTTTGCAAGAATACGAGTCTGACTATTGGTTGGTATTTGAAAATTCGAGCACTAAAACAAGTTTACGTAGCTTGGAAAATATGGTGGATCATAAGGCTTTTGGATTCATGGAGGTGAAAAATAATGGATTTAACTTTTATGATATGATTTGGTGTGAATTCTTAGAGCGCACTACAACTGTTAGGCGTGAATTGGAACAAAAATTAAAGTTGATTAAACTTCTATTTGAGGATACATATTCCAGTAAGTTTTGCAAATCTCTACCCAATTTCAAAGGAAAAAGAAATCTAGCAAAACTCATGTTGATTATGCAAATGTGTTATTTGTTAGTATTAGAAGATTATTATGTTTGATTCAAGTTCGGAAAAGAAGAAAGAAGGATGGAACGCCATGCTCGAATTTTTTATTCATCGTGGAAATTTGCTTCTAACTCGAGGACGAGTTTTCTCTCACCTGGAGGGACTGATGCAGTGCAAAGGCAAGAGAAATTTCTTCAAACAGTTGAAGATCCTAAGAAGACTAGATTAAAATTGCATTAATAGGGGCATCATTGTTTATGGGTCTTAAATCTGTTTTAATTTTATGTTTAATGTTTGCTTTAAGCTCTAGTTAGGGTATTATTGTCATTTCAGTTTTATTTTATGAGTCATGTGCCTCTTAAGTGAGTGATGTGACTATTTAAGGGTTGTTTTGTCATTTTTTTAGCTCTTTATTCTGCTGGATAGGATACTAGCCTTTAGATTACATTAATATGGAGGGCTAGGATTAAATCATTGTTAGGGCGTCCGTTCTCTTATAAAAGGGTTGTTACAAGTTGTAATCAGCAGTTTTTTGCGTAGTATCAATATACATTGCCTGCCACAGCAGCTTTTACCTCTCCCTTTTCTTTGGGATTGAGTTGTGGGTGTTTAAGCTATTCATTAGCTTGAATTAGCTCTCTATTTTTCCTTCTTCAGATTTATTTCTTTTCTTTCATAGCTGATTGCATTACTTTGGCTTCTTGCGCTCTTCAGTCATATAACCACTCAAGCCACGTGCCTGAATTGACAAAAGGCATGATCGAGACCATGCTAGGTAATTGCTCCATCCAATTTCACAAGACTTAGCTGAAGAGATGAATTGTCAAGAATGGTGGAGACAAGACCTAATCCACCGTTCTCAGTACTTGTAGAGACTTTCGACATCTTATCTCAAAAATAGATACAATAGTCAAAGAATAAACAAGGAATCTAAGGATGAACTCAACTAGAAATAAGCAGGACATTTATATAATTATCAGACCAGAGTTGGATGCTTCAAATCATGCAACCAACTTCAAACAAATGTCAACACTGCCTAGTTGCACCCCTCTGTGATAGATGGAAGCAGAAAATCCAATAGAAAAGGCTCCATCAACCAAATCACAACAAACCACCCCTCTTTTTTTCTAGAAGATGGCTTCACAATCAGGAAAAAGGATTGTGATCTTCGACAGAGAAGCGATCCAGGATGAAGACTTTTGAGCCCTAATATGCTGACATCAGCGTACTATGATGACGTCAGCACACTTCTAGGCCTTCTACAATTCTTGAGTCCTAATGTTGAAACCTGGCTCTAATACCAGGTTGAATTATTATAGGGTTTTGGATGATTAGGGTTTGGAGAGGAAAGATAAAAGAAAGAGAGAAAAGACGAGTAGAAAAAGAATGTAAGAAAGGGTTGTAGAAATTGATTCTGACATCTCTACACCCATGTATTTATATTATTCAGAACTGTAATTACAATAATTGTGGGATTTGAATTACAATAATTGTGGTCAAATCCCACTGATTATGCTAACTAAATATTCTGGTCAGTCCCACAATGCTAACTACAGGAATATTCCCACATAATCCAACAGTTGCCTAAGCATATCCTTTTGGATCAACTCAACGTCGTACCTCAACTTGACATGGTGCTTGTCAAGTGACTAAAAACACCAAAATATTGTCATTTCTGAAATTAATTGCATACAACTTTATTAGAAAATACAGTATGTAGAAAATTTGGATGCTTGTGCAACCATGTCCTTTGTATGAGGAATCTTTTGTGTTTCCTTAATTACGAATTGCTTTGTTAGTGGATGACATGAAAGCTGACACCATTGCATGTAATGATTAAAATCTCTTGTATGACTCGTTGTACTGGTTTTCTATATCACCACAGGATAGAATTATCTTATCGATGTCTCTTTAATGGTACGATTAAAATGGACTTTTGTGTGGAATCTGAGTCAATAGTATCTCTTCATCTTTTGATCGGAGAATTTTGGTTTCGTGAGAATTTTAATCCATAATGGTAGTTGAAAGAATTTTGAGTAAACATTCTACATTGAGGCATGGATTAGGCTGCTCTTTATACAAGGTTATGCATAATTATGTTATGACCATGGTTTGAGTCGGGGAGGCAACTGCCAATGCCAACATGGACATGGGCCTGTATCGGCTATAATGGAGTCCGTTGTCGTGGTCGTGAATTTTTTTTTATACGTGCCTTACAATGATTCAATATGCTTCTTATTAATAAAGCATCCAAGGTTCGAATCCTTTTGAGTGCAAACAATTCCTTGGTTTTATTTTTTTTGGTTTCGGAAATTAAAAAAAATTTGTTTCTATTTATCTATCTTTGCACGAATCTTTTAATTGAATTATATTTGATTATATTGCATTCATCCTCTTTTGATTATAATTATTGTTTGTGCATTATTGATTACTATCCTTTGTCTTAAATAGATTATTATTTGCACACATAATAAACTGATTTAAATTCCATTGTTTGCCAAAGATCCAATGCACCCTCCCTCTTGGGTCTTATATTGGGTAACATAACTATTTCGTCATTTTTACACATTGAACACTAAATAGCTTAAAATTGACCTGTGTGCTTCATTTTTCACCTTCGAACATGTGACATGGTCGGACAATAAGACAATCAGGCAGGCAGTGATCATATTAGGATGAGAATTGAATACATCCACTTTTCACACAGTTGGAAATTTGCTCTTTCCACGAGGTGGTTGCACATGTATCTGGTTGCATACTGATGTTTGCAGTTCACATCTGTGTTTAATCGTTTTGTATGTGTTCGTTCTGCTTTTTCTTCTTGGGTCTTCACTTATCATTTGATGTGCGAGAATTCCTTTCTCTTATTGTTGCATTCGGGTAATTTTAATTACGTTGTAACTGGATCTATAAAAATAAATAAATAAAATTAAGTTGTAGCTGGAATCCTGCTTTGGTCAATGGTTTTTTCTGATTATATCATATGTTCTAAGAGATGAATTTGCTTTTGCTTTTGCTTGTGTTGAACTTTCATTCACCATAGATTAATCCTCCATTACTACGAAATAAACTTATTGATGCACATATCGTTCAGCTTCTGAGTGCGCGGGACATGGCCCAAAGAACATTCATCGGACAGGATCGGATTGTCTACACTACTGATCGGGACTTGGTTGAGCAAGACTACGATGCCCGAGAGTGGGAACGGAGATTCCGAGAAATCAAGAAGTCTGACTGAGAGGCTATGGTTACTTGGTGAATTTACAATAGAAACTCAATAGAGTGGGGGAGATAGTTCATGGATATGCTTGGTTTCCATGCATCAACATATACAACCGGGAGGGGCGGAATGCTCAGAATTTGTCATATGTAATCACTTTGTATATTGACATTGTCTTTAGATCGGAAAGGCTAGTGTATATGATATCCAACATATATTCCACAGCCATGGTCTCTTAAATATTATTATGCGTTAGCGGGTAGTTTGCTTCTCTATTGTGAATGGTACATCTAACTTGTGCTCATGCAACAGGTAGATATTTTTTAGCTAAAACCATAGTTAAAGACTGCTATTTTTGAGCTAAAACCATCGTGAAAGACCCAGAGACTGAATGAGACAAGATATTAAACACGTGACTAGAAGTGTCCAGAAAATTAAATATTTACTTTCTGGTTAGACATCACTAGAATAGGACATGACAATTTTGAGCTAAAACCATCGTGAAAGATCCAGAGACTGAATAAGACAAGATATTAAACACGTGACTAGAAGTGTTCAGAAAATTAAATATTTACTTTCTGGTTAGACATCACTAGAATAGGACATACAAAGATGTTTTGAACACTGCAGATGGTTTTGTAATTATTTTTGTTAGAAGAATTAGATTCAATTCAATATAATCATTTTTTGGCAAAGGATTTTGCTGAATTTATTTCTCTACCTTCTTTATTATATTTGTTAAAATTAATTAAAATATTTTTGTATGTCAATTGCGTTATAAAAGTGGGATCCACTTCATTTCATAAGTGTAAATGCAAGTTAGGGACGTAGGGATCAGTGAGGCGGTGATGGTCGACGTGCAAAAATTGTGTTGGTCCATTGATGTGTGTACATGCCTGATGATGTATATGCAATGCATTTGATTGGTGTCTAATGGCTTATTGATGATGGATATGCAATACATTTGATTGGTGCATTAAGCGGTGTCTTGTAGCTATATACATGTATGCTTGATCGTACTATAGGAGGTATCTTTCAGTTTATGAATAAATAAAGCTCTCTATCTTTTCTCTTTTCATCTCTTTTCTTATATTCACGTAACGTTATCAACACGAGCTCTAATCATTTGAAACTTAAAAAAGAAGCTTTTTTTCCCTCTTTCTATCTTAACTCTATATATCTCTCTTGTAATATTAGTTTTGATAAATTATTGGGTTTGCTTACTTTATTGAAGAAAATGTTGTATTTATCACTCCAAAGAATAAAAAAATCTTATTTATTTATTATTATTCATTAATTAATTTGTTCACTCAAGTGATATATATGCTCATAGTATGGTCGGTTTTACCGCCTTTAATATTTAATGATTTAATGGCCAGTTTTACCGTCTTTATTGCTTAAATTATAATAGTTTATATTATCTTGTTACTTCACTTAATGCCATTTTATTATTAAGATATACTTGCATTTACACTTATGAAATGAAGTGGATCCCACTTTCATAACGCAATTGACACAAAAATATTTTAATTAATTTTAACAAATATAATAAAGAAGGTAGAGAAATAAATTCACAGCAAAATCTGACATTGGAAGGCCTTTGCCAAAAAATGATAAACCTCAAATTTATTTACAATTAGATCAAAGACATTGTAGTTTACCCTTTTATTTTCTTATATTGAATTGAATCTAATCGTGGAAGAACTCATTCATATTACCATGAAGGTTATCAATCCTCAAATTCTAACAATCAGATATTCACACCATATCCCCATAAAGGGATTATAATGAAAAGGGTAAAGGAGGAAAGGTATGACCCAAACTTTGAAAACTGATGCAAATATTTGTTATCAGTGTGGAATGACAAAGCACTGGTAAAGTATATTTCGTACGCCTAAACACTTGGCTGATCTGTACCAAGCCTCACTGAAGGAAAAAAGGAAAAAAGATATAAATGAATTTCACTAATTTCAATGAGCCAATGGATATCACAAATCTAGATGTGTCTGATTTATTTGGGGAACGTGATGAAAAAATTAACCACTTAATTAGTGATGAAAATATCCTCACCAATTAAACTTTACTTTCTTTTATTATGTCATCATTAGTTTGTGTTATTATTATTATTATTACTATTATTTTATTGTTGTTCTTTGTTTTTATTATTGTGCTTCTACTAAAATTTCTTTAGTTACCATTGAATTAAAAGTTTCTTTTGTTATCCTTGTGTTAAAGTTTCTATTATCACAATAAAGTCTAAATATGAATTTTGCATGATATATATATATATATATATATATATATATATATATATATATATATATATATATATATATGGATTTGACAAATGCATTGGTTAATAGTAATGATATATGCCTTGTAAATAGTGGAACGACATACACAATTATTCGAGATAAAAAATATTTTTCCCACTTAATATTGAGTAAGGCTAGTGTTAATACAATTTCAGATCCCACAAATCTGATTAAAGGCTCTAGAAAAGCCGAAATCGTTTTACTATGTGGGGCAATAATACACATTGATAATGCCTTATATTCTACTAGATTTCAAAGAAATTTGTTGAGCTTTAAAGACTTAGGTCAAAATGGGTATCATATTGAGACCACGAATGAAGAAAATGTGGAATATCTCTACATTACTTCTAAAAAGCATGTACTTGAAAAACTTCATGTTTTCTCTTCTAGGTTATACTATACAACTATTAGGACAGTTGAGTCAAATGTTGTGATACACCAATAATCTTGTGACCCAAATTTTTTTATGCTTTGGCACGATTGACTAGGTCACTCGAGAACTACAATAATGTGTCGAATTATTGAAAATTCTAATGGACACTCACTGAAGGATCAAAAACTCCTTTTAACAAATAATCATCTATGGGTTTAGGGTTTTGGGTTTAGGGTTTGGGGTTTGGGGATTGGGATTTTAAGGTTTAGGGTTTAGGGTTTTAGGGTTTCAGGGTTAGGGTTTGGGGATCGGGGTTTGGGGTTCGGGGTTCGGGGGTTTGGGGTTCAGGTTCGGGTTTGGGGTTT